CCAGCCAGAAGCTTACAAAATTCCCTGATATCATGCTCGTCAGATCTGTCCCTCGGTGAAGGTACGTCGTATCAAAATAGCCGCGCGGACCAATAGAGATCTTCCTCCTCACCGCCTGGACGAAGTTTTCTTACGAACAGTCAGGGGGTACCGGTTACAGGTAGACCGTAGTAACACCCGAGTCGTACCGCTCGTGAGCTCACGCAAGGCAAGCCGCACTTCCATCTGCGTGCGTCATAGCTCCAAAGAATGTGTTAGACCGCGGCAGTTTCCTGCCCGGACATTGAGTAAGGGCTCCTCGCTGCCCAGGTGAGGCGCGTTGAGTAATCTACCGTGCCTCGCGACACATCGGCTAAACGTCGACAGTCAGCTATCAAGAAGCTCATCCATGCCGCTTCGACAGGCGTCACAAGCGTCTCATGAGGTGGGTTACATATTGTTCCCAGGGCTGAGTATACCCCAGTCAGAAATGCAGAGTAAACGGCCCGCCACCTTGGGTCGCCGAAGCGGCACCACTCTTCTTGGCCCCAGCACGCTACTTCCTTCAAACGTTCGGCACCAGTCTTCGTGCGCAAATGACAGTACCGTAAACCCACAATCGCTTCAGCGACTCCAGGATCTGCCCGTCTGCGCAAAGAGGCTGAGTGTTTGCGATTGGCTGCGTTTTCGCACCCTGTCGTCCCACTCCTTACTTGCTCTTTCCCACGTTCACGCCTCTAGCAACACACTCCGCACGTGTCATCATGGCAAACGCTGTAAAATCGCTACCCTGAATGTAGGTCGCATCTCGCAACTTGATACTACTGGACCGTTTTGGGCACCCGTTGGTCGCACGGTTGGCTTTCCCTTTAGTCAGGTTATTCATATAGCCACTACCCGTGGACATGTCTCCCATGCCCCTACATCATTCACCCGACCACGTACCCTTTCCACATCCAGTATCGACTCCCTGGTAGCTGGGTTTGTGGATCCACGCCGTGGCTGTCAATCCTCCTAGTGTGTCTCCGCTGACGGCCCACCGTCTTTTACACCCTTCTAAATTCCTTCTACGCTTCCGTCGCCGAGACCCTTCTTGTTTCTCTTCAACTTCTCATGCTCGTTCGTTGATCACCGGTATTAACCATGGGCTTCAATCCAGACTCCAAAGAATTGGGACCGAGTGAGCCACGAGCGCTCCAACCTACCGTCTCCAGTCAATCGAAAGCAGCAGAAGCAGGTCAAGACCAGAACCGAAGCATCATGGCAACTATCGCAGACGACGACGACCGCCTCCTTGTGCGCATTGGATACACTCCTGTAAGCGCTCCAAGTCATTCACTCGACCACCTTCCAACAGTCTTCGCAGGTTCTACAAAGACATTTCTCGAGATGGTCTACAGTTTCATATGCCATCTCGATTCTAGGAGTACTGGGCTCAGTGCCCGCCACCTTTGGTGCACCAATGAGCTCAGGTGGCCCAGCAACAGCAGTATGGGCCTGGTTCATTGGCAGCATCATGGCATACTGCATAGCAAGTTCAGGTACGTTTGCAACATGCATAGAAGAGTCCTAGCTAACTCTCGTCAAGTTGCCGAACTGGTCTCAGCATATCCGACAGCGGGAGGCATGTACTATGTCACAAAACACGTTGTACCACCTGAACACGTTGCAGCCTGGGCGTGGATCATCGGTTGGTGCAACTTCCTTGGACAAGCCGCCGGCGTTGCAAGTCTGGCGTATACAATCTCCCAGATGATATTGGCGACGGTTGTCATGCACACGCTAGACAATGGAGAGTCTGCCTTTACGCCGTAAGAATCACCCCACTTGGATCACCTGCAGCAGCTTACCGATCAATGCAGGCAAGCATATCAGACCGTCCTTCTCGCTATTTTCGTGTTGTGCATGTTTGGCACAATCTGCTCATTCCCCACGAATTGGCTTCATCGCATCATCTTGTGGTTCGCCCCTATCAACAGTACGTCGACGAAGGATTCGTGTTGAGCGCCGTCTGACAGCAAATAGTCATCGCATCAATCTGCATCTGCATCGCTCTTCTCATTCTCACACCGAACAAGCAAAGCCCACAATGGGTGTTCACAACAGTCATGGATGGCTCAGGCTGGGGAAGCAAGGGTTTTTCATTCCTCCTTGGGTAGGTCCAAACCAACATTTGTATAGCGCCAGACCACTGACTAATCCCAGCTTCCTTTCCGTTGCATGGACGATGACTGACTACGACGGCACGACACAGTAAGTCAGCCCTACGACTCCACACATGAGCCAATCTAATCAGCGTTACACAGCATGTCGGAAGAGACCCACGATGCCGCTATTCGCGGCCCTGTAGCGATCCGCGCTGCAATCCTCGTCTCCGGCGTCGTCGGTTGGATGCTAACCGTCACCTTCTGCTTCTGCATGTCAGACTACGATGCGATTATGGCCACGCCGACCGGTCTGCCCGTGGCCCAGATCTTCTTCAACGCTGGCGGCAAAACAGGTGGAACCATCATGTGGTTCTTCGTCATGTTGGTCCAGTTCTTCACCGGCTGCTCAGCCATGTTGGCAAATGCTAGAATGGCTTGGGCCTTCTCCCGCGACGCAGCCTTCCCATTTTCGGGGTGAGTTTCCGCGTCCAATCGACGCTAGTATTGAGGGGTGCTGACTTTGCATAGCTTTTGGAGCAAGATCAACTCCTACACGCACACTCCGGTCAATGCGGTATGGCTTGTTGTGCTGTTCTGCAGCTGCCTCGACCTAATCGGCATCGGAAGCACTCTTACCATTACGGCTATCTTCAACATCACCGCCCCGGCTTTGGACATCAGTTACATCGCAGTCATCATTGCCCACCGATGGTACGAGAACACTGTCACTTTCCACCCTGGACCATACACAATGGGCAGATGGAGCAAGCCGGTCAATGCGATTGCAGTGACATGGGTCATCTTCATCAGTGTTGTGTTGTTCTTCCCGACTGTCAAGCCAGTCAGGGCCGACAACATGAATTACGCTATCTGTGTGGCAGCCTTCATTGGCCTGTTTAGCACGGCTTGGTGGTATGCGGGTGCAAGGAAGAAGTACACCGGCCCGCGCACAAGCGACACCATCGACATGCTTCCACCGGAGGATCCAGAGGACATCCTCAGCGACTACGACAACAATGTTTAGTGCACAGTTCCGCATCGCATTCGCCTATTCCTATTCGAGAGCGCATGGCCGCCTCGAACTTTACGATTTTAACGATTTCACATTCAATGGAGTTTTACGGTGGCGGGCATCTTTTATTTCGGCGTTGGTCCACATTTGGGTTTCATTTCTTCCATCATTTTCTTTCGAGCAAACGGAGTCACCACCTAGAAGGGAAGAGAGATCAGGGGCCACTCCCATTCACTTGCGCAAGATACCTATAGATCGGATGATACCCCCCAAGCAGCCAGCCACACGCGTACTCGATAGCAAAACTACGCCAATGTCCTTATTATTTAGCGCAATATACTCCATCATTACAATTATCTATTTTCAGTAATTTCCCCCATCGTCCTCGGTTCGCATGGTCACTACGTGGGTGTCAATGGTCACAGGTTTGCCTCTGCTACTAGCGTTGCAGCTTCATGCAATGCAGGTCATATTTGGTCCGCCCACCCGCGATTAGTCGCACACCACCAATGACAATAAATGCACTGTCTTTTTGCTTTTTCGCCTTGTTCTGACTGGAGTGATCGGTGTTCACAGGGCGTGGTTCCCTTGCTTACGTGACTCTGCACTGCTAGCATAGTGTACATCTGCAGGCCTAGCGGGATCGAGGCTGCAGTGGATGGACTTCGCACAATGGCACTCTTTTGGACTTGTGGCCGGTCGGTCAGAATTGCGGGAGGAATACTATGCGGGAAGGTTACTGGATTTGTAATACGACTATGAAATACCATGTGGCTACGAAGTTGCAGTATCTGAGATGGAGTGACGTGTAACCGTACGTTACATAACCTTAATACTATACGAGCAGGGTAATATCTTACACTCCTTCTAGATTGTATGGATGTGCACATGATTGGTCCAGAAAGACAAGCTCGTTGCTCTACCAAAATTGGAGACCTCTACATCAAATGGTACCACAACGCATTCATCCCGCTAACCAGCGAACTCAGCCCACAGAAGACAACAAATCCACCATAACCACTTCCATAGCCCCCAAGTGCCTCTCCTTTCCAAGGCATTCCACCAACAAGCGCCTCACTCATCGGCCCAGCAACGATATTCCCAAGTCCCCTAGCAAGACAGAACAGCGAGAATATGAGGATGGTATCCACATGTCCCACCCCCCTCGACTCGCCCTTCTTCGCCATCTCCCTCATGACAGCCGGCCACGCCGCCGGAAAGCCGCCGGCAAACAACCCGACCAAGATACAGAAGATGTATAAAACAGCGATGTGTGTAGCCAGGCCCCAGAAAAGAAAGACAGAGAGCGTGGCGCCAGTAGCGGAGACCGCAATGCAGACGCGCGAGTTGAACCGATCGGTCATGTACCCCATGATGGTAAGACCTACCATAGCGGACACGTTGAGCAACATGAGTGAGGCCGTAGACAACCAATCCGAAGCACCAAACACCTCGCGAGTGAAAGAAGGAAGGTAGATACCAGGGAGATAGTACCCCGCGCCCTGAACAAAATTAGCAAGTTGATGTAAGAGAAAAGATCTTGAGCAGACGAGCTTCCAGTTCCAGAACCTCTTCTCCCCAGTACCGTTATCCGTGACTGGAAGTCTCGGTCTAACAAACCACGCCAACGGTATACCAGCGCCAAACATAACACCAGCCAAAACCCGCATCGTACTCTGATATCCAACCTGCTCCAGCAACGCGTTGATCAAAAGAGGTAGAATCAACCCTCCGCACCCACCCCCCGCACCAATAACTCCAAACGCCAACCCTCTCCTCTTATCGAACCACTGTTCCGCAAAGACCAACAGCGGACAAAACGCTACACTACCTAAGATACGTGTATACAGTCAGTCAAAGTCTCATATGCCGTTCGTAAAGGAAAGTATCTTACCACTCACACCCTGCAGCACACCCTGCGTAAACACAAGCTGCATCGTGCTCGTACAGAACGAACTCGCTATGTTGGACACAATACAACCGAGAAGACCCACTGTGGCCATCCAGCGAGCGTAGCCCGGTTTCCGGCGCGCGAGATACAGGACGAGGGGTAGGAAGATGAGGATGAGAGATTGATTCAAGACGCCGATTACCGCGGCGAAGGAGGAGGATGAGGATTGGGAGCTGGAGGCGAAGGGGGCGTGTGTGGTGTAGTGGGATTGGAAGCGGCCGTAGGAGAAGGATTGACCTGGGGGTCAGTGTCAGTGTCAGGAGTGCGTGTGTTGTTTGTTCAGGGATGAGGGACAGGACGGACCAATGGTTAGGAATTCGATGGCGAACGCTGCAGTGAGGAAGAGCCAGGCGTGTTTTCCTTTGTCCATGGGTGGAAGGTTGGAAGGGAGTACGGAAGGGGACTCATGGAGCTGTGAGATGTGTTTCTCTTCGAAGTCGTTTCGTGGGGACAGGTCTTGGTCGTTTGGGTTAGCAACAGTTGTTGGTGGTGTGCTTTCGATGGGATCGTTGGACATGTTCCCGGTTGCCAGTACGTGGACTAGATTGATGGAAGGAATGCGATCGGAGGATCAATTGACTGTACTTGACAATGGCCTGATTGATCTTGCGTTCATGAGGTTACCGTCGTGACAAGTAGGGCCTGCGTCGACTGGAAGTTCACATACGCCTCACGTATCTTGAGTGACTACCTTGTTTACACACGCCTTGCGCCCACACGCCTTACGCCTACAACACCTCCCATTCCCAACCACTCTCATGCGCAGTCTGGTCCGCACGCCCTACGCGTCTGCAGGGTGACCTTGGCAACCATTCAATTCACCCGCAACACCTTCACACAACACGACATCCAAACATCACCCAACACAACCAATTGCATATAAACTTGTATTGATGCAGATCCAGGTCTATTCTGGAAGCCAATGGGGTATTCTAACTGTGTCGCAAACATGACTTATAAATCTCGATAGATGATGGCAAGAGAAAAGGAAAATAGTGGGTGTAAAGAATGAAGAACCTTGACATGATGGAAGAAACTTTTAGTCCGTTATTTCCCTTTCGTCGATGGTTGTTCTGGCGTAAATGTCGTTGCGTTAATGATTATGTTTTGCGCTTGCGCAGTGTTTGCGGGGATACGTCGCGTTTCCTCCTTCTCTGCTTGCACGTGGTATGTGTTTTTCTTGTGCGACGTCCTCAAGGCTTTGGATACGTCGTGTACTGCGATGCCGTGTAAGGTGTCATGCATGGCATGCTGTTCCTCGGTAGGCTATGACGCTGTCTTGTCTCTGTTGGTCCGACCAGATAGGTGTCCATCCATCGATAGTCGTCGACCCGTAGGTACAAGAGCAGCTTGGCCCGAGGAGCGTTTATGACCGTCCAGTTCCCATACGGCTCAGTTCCTTTATCCGTATAGTAGAAGGCATCTTGCTGAAGCGCTTGCTACTCGATGTGGTGGACGAGTTTGCCGAGGAAGGAGCCGAGGCATAGACGTATTCACCGTCGACGTATTGCGCTTCGCTGATAAAGGTCGTGCGCTTCTCGCGACGTGTGTAACGCTGTTCGAGGCGGTAGAGCTCGAGGCCTGGATTGGGTTCTTGTTAGTCTACTGTCGCAGGTGTGAAGGTTCGGGGCTAAGGTAAGATGGGACGAAGCGAGGTAAGACATACGAGCTTGCATCTTCTCAATGAGACCCATTGTGTATTGTGTGAAGTTTGTTGTGCCGCGCGCCGAGAGATATTGTGTTTGTGTCTGTGTCGAAGAAGGAATACCAAGGAGAGGCGGATCGTAGATACGGCACGGTTGTGATGTCGCAATGTGTTCGCCGGCTAGTTCCCTGCTGCGCTGTTGCAGATGCCGTATCGGATTGAGGTCGGACCAGGTACTCGAATTACGTTATAATAATGCGCTTCACGCCTGTGAGATTGGTGCTCAGATTATGCGAGGGTAGATAGCGGGTAAACGAGTGTAGAGATGCGGCGCGGGAGGGGAACAGTGTGATGAAAAAGGAACGGATGGCTGGTAAAAGACGGGATCAACGACTACGGTACGCGAGTTCCAAGAGGAAGGAGGGCCTTCCCTCGGATAGGTTGTTGGGGCGGGACAGTTGCTAGGCGTTCCAGGTTTCATGCGCGGGCAGTTCTCGAATCCCAAGTTGCATGATTTGGGGTTAGTAGAGCCGAAAGCCAAAACATACCAGGCCTAGAAAAGCCATCGTGTCCGTGTCGCGGATTCGTGAGTCGTGGACCGCTTTCGCCATTGCGCGGCTTGCTTGCATCGATATTCTTTATTGCGGGGTGTAGCGGCTTACTTGCTTGACAGCTGGGCAATCTGTAAGCATAGCCGTCGCGGAAACCTCTCCGAAGGCTCCAACACCCTGGATTTCCCAGAGTTCGCATCCAAAGGTTCCCGGTTCTCGAGTCAGGGTCTCACGTGGTAATCAGGGGTCTTGGGCGAGACCCCAGAACGTGCCGGCGCCACCGCCTTGGCAACCGACGCTCGTCCCAGGGGCGCATTGCTAATCCTCGTGCAGCACAATTCATCCGCCGGGTAGCAATCGGCATGGCCGATCACAGAACAGATACGTTTCTTTTCGTAGGACAATGAGAACCACCATGACATAGGATCTGATTGCTTCTCCAAAACTTGATGCCCAAAAAATTCCGGGATCGCCATGCCGCATACCGTAGATCTATAGCCTCACCATGCTCCGTGCTCCATTACAGTTGAAATTGTCCGACCATGACCTCATGCGATTACTCGAGACTCCGGGACCGTGCCATCGACCACAGCAATCGCGCCAACATTGCCTGCGTCTGCGGATCCGTTCAATAACGAAATGACAGAGATGACATCCGAAGGCTCGAGCAGATGCCAGCTGGCCAGCGTCTGCTTCGAGCTGGCACCAACCGTGACCGAGAAGACGTGATCAGTGGGCAATTTGGACTGGCGCAGCGATCGGAACATGTCTGATGATGTTAGCGGGTGGAAAGCGCAGCCACAAGTGCAACACATACCTTCATCCGTAAAGTCGTCGCCCATGCAAAGAACAAACTCAGGCGCATTACCGCTACCTTCGCCGTAGTTCTCTACAAGCGTCTTCGCGATCTCGCCCTTGTTCACGAACCTCGGGCGAACTTCAAGATTGGCTTTACCCGTCATGACCTCGACGTCGTGCTTCTTTGCGACAGTCCTCTCGAGATGCTTCTGGCACTCCCGCGCCTGGAATGCACCGTATTCGGGATCCGCTCTCCGGTAGTGCCATGTCAGGGCAATCTTCTTGCGTTCGATGAATGAGCCTGATCATCTGTTAGTAATAGGTAGTTTGATGACAGTATAATAGCTCACCTTGAGTCCTCTCAGTGTAGTGCTGGAATACGTCAATGACCTCCTGCTGCCAGCTCATGTCGGTCGTCTCGGTGAGATTATGCCATTCCTGACTGCGTGGATGCCTCATGAAGCTGCCATGCTCAGCACTCAGACCCAGCTCGGGAATGTGGCCCATCCATTCGTCCAGGAAAGCCTGGTCTCTGCCGCTGATGATCCAGACAGCATTCGCAGGGTCAGCTGCTAGAGTCTTGAGAGTTCGAATAACACGATCGGATGGAATGGCTGCCTGCGGGTCCTTGACAATGGGTGTCAGAGTGCCGTCGTAGTCGAACATGAAGAGTCGCTTCTTGGCCTCACGGTATTGGAAGAGTAGTTTGGCCCGGTCAAGTGCTGGCGTAGCGAACGCTTGATCGAAAGCTGACAAATTCGTCATCAATCGCTTCAGGTAGTTGTTCGACCAAGCCTGGACATTGTTTTGCACAACATGATTGTAGAGTTGAGCGTGCGTCTCGGCACGAACTTCGGCACTTTGGTTCAGAGCGTCGTTGATCGCATCGGCAACTCCGCCCATGTCCCAGGGATTGATGTGGCTTGCGCTGTGTAAGGAACTCGCTGTACCAGAGAACTCCGAAAGAATGAGCGGTCCATGGTTATCCTTTTGGCAAATGATGTATTCCATACTTGTCGTGTTCATACCATCTCGCACGCTAGTGATGAGGCCGATGTCTGCAAGTCGAAGCAGAGCAAAGTATTCCTCCCGGGAAAGGTACTGTGGGAAATGACGGACCGGGGTGAAATCGAGGGTTCCGTAGGTGCCGTTGATTTTGGCCGCAAGGTCCGAGATCTTGTTGACCACCTTTTCCTGTGCGCCATCACTTCTATCGGTATGGACTCCGCTAGGACTTGTGACCTGGATGAGGACTACTTTGCCTACCCACTCGGGATACTTCTGAAGGAAGAGCTGGAACGCCTGAAGCTTCTGAACCACTCCGCGAACCGCATCTAGCCTGTCACGACCAACAATGAGCTTCTTGCCAGCATACATCTCGCGGATGTCTTTGAGTTTATGTTCAATCTCCGGGTCGCCAAAAGCCTGTCGCTGTGTGGAGACTGCGTTAATTCCGATGGGGAACACGTCGACTGCTACATGCGCGCCGTATGCATCGACTCCAGTGGAAGACGAATCAAAACCCAGTATCCTAGTACAGCAAGACGAAAAGTGCCGCGAGTAGCTGTATGACTGGAACCCGATCATGTTGGCACCCAACACGCCCTCCAGGATCTCTTTCCGTCTGCTCAGGCAGCGGTAGAACTCGCTACTTGGGAAAGGGATGTGCAGGTAGAAGCCAATGTAGATGTTGGGTAGACGTTGGCGAAGGAGACTTGGCAAGAGCATCAGGTAGAAATCGTGTACCATGACGATGTCGCCTGGCTTGTAGACCTCGAGGATCCTGTCTGCGAAAAGCTTGTTCATGCGGTAGTAATCGGCCCACGATTTCCGGGCAGCGCGCCCATCAGCTGGCTCATTCTGCTTGTAGTGGAACAGGGTGTAGAGCTCGTGCTCGGCATATGTCCTCCAATGGCTCTGGTTCTTCAGGATGTATTCATCTTTGCCATCATCTACCTCGTCGACAAGCCACACTGGCACAATCCTGCCTCCGTGATCGCGTTCGAGCTGTTTATCCAATCGTGCTCGATCGTCTGGGCCTATCCTGAAGCTGTTTGGAGCTTGAGGTACTTGTGTCGGTTTCTTTGGATCGACGGGAATGGGCGCGGCAGCCTTATTCATGGGCGCTTGCGTAGCTGTGACGGATGCTGTCTTTGCGTGCGCGATCTCGCCGGTCCAGCCTACGAGCACGTGGTTCCATGGAGAAGAGCTAGAAGCCAGGTAAGAGAAGGAGTCGAAAAGGGCCGAGGTTCCGCGTCGCGGATTCAGTTCCCAGTCGTTGCCCTGTGAGTAACCAATTGAATAGGGTATGGCAAAGGTCGCACTGATAACGCGACCGCTGAGGTTTAAACCAGGGTGTGCGGCGCGAGGATCTAC